GAAGCCTGTAATCACTGCTCAAGAAGAAAAATAGAGTGTAACAAAAAACCAGAACAAGAAAAGTGTAACAACTGTATGTCGCTATACTCCTGAAGCTGTCAACAAAACTTTGAAAGACATTATGAATAATGACCTTCTCTTTGGTAGCAAAGTGATTTTGTTTGGCAGTGATTTTTGATAGATTCTTCCTGTAGTTCGTAAAGGATCTAGAGCACAAATTGTAAATGCTACTCTTAATAAATCTCATATATAGCAATATATTCATGTCTTTTCTCTAATGACTAATATGTGAGTCGCTCAAAATACTTCTTATGAGGCAAAAGAATTTGCAGAATACCTACTTAGAATTGGTAATGACACAGAACTAACAATTGAGAATAATTTGATTTGCCTTCCTGACAAAATTGTTATTCATCCACAAAATGATAATGATTCTATTACTACTCTGACAAATGCTGTGTATTATAATCTTTCAGAAAATGCCACAAATAGTTTGTTTTTTACAGAATGTGCAATACTTACCCTTTAAATTGCGATATCGATGAATTAAATGACCAAATAATAGCCAAATTTTCTGAAAAACAGCAGATCTATCATAGCTTTGATTCAGTACCAGAAGACAGTCTAAATCTCTATCCTATAGAATATTTTAATTCACTAACACCACAAGGTCTTTCTCTACACAAAATTAAATTGAAGATTGGGGCACCAATTATGTTACTTAGAATTCTTGGAATAAATACACGTTTTCCTTGATGTTCATCAATCACTATCTCAGCATTGATTACTTGGTTATTTAGTTGGCGGCATATGAGCCTTGTCCTATTACAAAGTCCATTTATTGGGTCAAGATTTCTAAGTAACATAATTGGTGCCCCAATCTTCAATTTAATTTTGTGTAGAGAAAGACCTTGTGGTGTTAGTGAATTAAAATATTCTATAGGATAGAGATTTAGACTGTCTTCTGGTACTGAATCAAAGCTATGATAGATCTGCTGTTTTTCAGAAAATTTGGCTATTATTTGGTCATTTAATTCATCGATATCGCAATTTAAAGGGTAAGTATTGCACATTCTGTAAAAAACAAACTATTTGTGGCATTTTCTGAAAGATTATAATACACAGCATTTGTCAGAGTAGTAATAGAATCATTATCATTTTGTGGATGAATAACAATTTTGTCAGGAAGGCAAATCAAATTATTCTCAATTGTTAGTTCTGTGTCATTACCAATTCTAAGTAGGTATTCTGCAAATTCTTTTGCCTCATAAGAAGTATTTTGAGCGACTCACATATTAGTCATTAGAGAAAAGACATGAATATATTGCTATATATGAGATTTATTAAGAGTAGCATTTACAATTTGTGCTCTAGATCCTTTACGAACTACAGGAAGAATCTATCAAAAATCACTGCCAAACAAAATCACTTTGCTACCAAAGAGAAGGTCATTATTCATAATGTCTTTCAAAGTTTTGTTGACAGCTTCAGGAGTATAGCGACATACAGTTGTTACACTTTTCTTGTTCTGGTTTTTTGTTACACTCTATTTTTCTTCTTGAGCAGTGATTACAGGCTTC